GTAATTGAACATAGACTACAATATATCTGTTATTACTAGAATATTAATTTCTATATTGTATAATTTAAGTTACCAAAAAATTTTAACTTTTCAGCTGAGTCACTTTAAGCAAACTAGATCTGACCTTTTTGGTGAACATCAGATCTTTCAGCATAAAAACACAGTATGTGGAAAATATGAGGCAAACATTAAAATGTGTCAAATGTTGATGATCACCCGAGAAGGACTAGTATTTGTTTTGACAAAGTTCTTTATGTCATAGTGTAGCTCTAGACAATGTATGTCCCCATTTTCACACCTCCTAGGTGATAATCCTGTCTTGGAATAACAAATTGTATGCTTTTAGAGTTCTCTTCATATTTTAGCTGGGTCATAGGTTGACTAAATTTGGCACAATGCATTATCATATTTATTAATTTTAGCAATGTTGAAAGTTCTAGTTCTGTTGCTCTGCTTGTGGAGTTCCTGTTCCCTCCAGCTCTTACTATTTCCCACTTCTTACATAAAATTCCATTTACTCTGCCCATCAGTTGGCCATTAGGCTCAGCATCTTCTTTGACAGTCTATACTTCAGAGGCTTTCAGAGGCCCTCTGTGGCAGGTTCCAAGGTTGTTTCCTGTTTTCTTCTGGCTTTCAGAGGCCCTCTGTAGCAGGTTCCGAGGTTGTTTCCTATTTTCTTTTTCTTCTGATGTCCACAAGCAGAGCAACAGAACAAGACAATTTGAACACAGGGAACTTCCCAGAGACTCATACTCCAACCAAGGACTATCCGTGGAGATAACCTAGAACTCCTGCACAGATGTAGCCCATGGCAGTTCAGTGTCCAAGTGGGTTACATAGTAATGGGAAGAGGGACTGCCTCTGACATAATCTGATTGGCCTGCTCGTTGATCATTCCCCCCTGAGGTGGGAGCAGCCTTACCAGGCCACAGTAGAGGACAATGCAGCCACTTTTGATGAGAACTGATAGACTAAGATCAGAAAGGAGAGGAGAACCTCCCCTATCAGTGGACTTGGGGAGTGGCATGCATGCAGAAAGGGGAGGGAAGGTGGGATCAGGAGGGGAGGAGGGAGGGGCTTATGGGGGGATACAAAATGAATAAAGTGTAATTAATAAAAAAAAAAGAAAGTTCTAGTTCAAGAGAACATCATGTTTTCCCAGGTCTAACTTGGGGTACAGTAGACACAAGAACTTGATGTGACTGCCTAAATCATTGGGGAAATGCATAAAGCTGTACTGTGAACCCACATATTTGTTTTTCAAAACATTAATTTCTTTTCATTCACTTTCATTCACCTGTTTATTTAAAATGACTGCATAGCTATGCAGCACAATTTGAAAAGAATAGTGATATTCATAAAGGAAGTTATGGTTTAGGAATGATGCTGTTATGGAGACTAAATTTGCTCTGTATTATGAAACAAGGTAATATCATTGATAGGTATGTGACAGAGGTCTGAATCAGGTAACTCTGAGAAAGCCTTGAGGGAGTGCAGGAGTCCAAGTAGGTGAGGCCTGGTTTGAGTGTAGTAGAACCCCGCTGTAGGAAGCTGGAAACCCATTTGAAATGTGAGACTGGTGGGAGGCGACACAAACAAGAGACTTTACTGCATGCGAAGACTTTGGCATTTAACATATTTTAACTCTGGGAAAACTAACTTATTTGTCTCAAATTTTGTCACCTGTGATGTAAAAACACAATTGGCTTATTGCATTAAATGGAATAAATCATGTAAAAATTTACATTGTATGTAATATGTAAAACTCTGTTTTATTGTCTTATATTGTAGACTGGACTCTGATATGCACTCTGTTACCATCCAAGCTGTCTCATTCCAGAGTCTTCTAGTTCAACCACTGGATGAATCTTAACTAACATTGTGGAGCAGTTATATTTTAATAAAAGTGGATGGTAATATGACAGAAGTTTCAAAACAAGACAGTATAAGTAAAGAGCATTTCAGCTATTTAATGTTGATGCCCTAACTGAGCAATAATTCAAAATGAATTAAACAGATTACAAACAATTCTGGGGGCATCACAAAGTTAAATAATGCAACTATTTTGACATGGTGGGTGGTATAGAATATTTTTTTCAAAGAGTATTGCCATCTGTAATTTGTTTTTTATAGCCTTGGGCAAAATGAAACAACTTTGACAGTATGTTAAGAATCCTATTGAAAACCATTTAATAAATTGATTTCCTCATTTCAGTTTCTATGTTATTATAAAAAATGCAAAAGCTGTGGTTGTATCATAACATTTGTGACAATCCTGTGACTTGGGTTTCTATTGCTGTGTCAAAACAGCAGGACAAAAGCACCTTGATGAGGAAATAGGCAGGTTCCCAAAGCAGGAAGTGGGATGCAGGAAATGAAGCAGAGGCCATGGAGGAACGTTGCTTATTGTTTTTTTCCACGGCTTGCTCAGTCTGGTATTATTATACCGCCAAGGACCACCTGCAGCACCCACGGTAGTCTGGGCCCATGAATATCAATCGCTAATCAACAAGACTTGCCCAAGAACCCCAAGAGAAGCAATTCCCTGGTAGGAGTTCTCTTACCAGATGACTGAGGCCTGTTTCAAGTTGACAAAAATACTAACCAGAACATGGAGTTACTTTCCATTATTTTTATTCTTCATAGAGTTTATTGTTAACGAAGTTGTTACAATCTATCTGCACAGACTCTTTTCTTGTATGCTTAATACACAGGCTACTAGCTTTTAAGTTTCAAATTCTCTTCTATGTGCTTTTTAAAAATTGTGAAGATGCAATGTTTTCTTGACAACTGAAATTCAACCTTTCTTCCACAGTACTTATCTATAAAATAGTAATTTCTATAATGATTAACCTTCCATGTTTCTAGATTTTAGATCACTCTTCAAGTGTCCTATAACTACCAAGCTTAAGTAGACTTCAATGATTTAGCCTCTGTTTCAGTTGTCAGTGTGGTGCAGTCCCCAGTTTGAATGTATTACCAATAGGGAACAGAAAAAATCTTACCGAGTACAGTTAAGGCAGAAATGACTATGAACACTGGGATGGCAAATGAAAACAAAAGAAAACAACATTGTCATAATTAGTTCATTCTACTAAAAAACGTGCATTTCTTTTGTGATTAACAGAGGCCGGAGAATGATGTGCATAAACAGAGGCCACCACTGCAAATCCAAGTCCATAGTTATGATGGCTGAATGCATGGTGTTAGAAACTGGAAAGAGTTGAAAGAGAAAAACATGAATATACGATTAGAAAATATCAGCTTTAAAAAGACCTCACAGAGCATGATTAAGGGTCTTAGGGACCTTCCCTATCAGTGGACTTGGGGAGAGACATGGGAGGAGATGAGGGAGGGAGGGGATGAGGTAGGGGGCTACAATTGGGATACTAAGTGAATAAACTGTAATTAATAAAAAAATTTTTAAAAAGCATCTTAAGGATGATCTGAGATGAAGAAAGTATTTTAATATGTTGGTTCTGCCCTAGTGGCAGAAATGAATTTTGGGCCTGGTTGGAATACTGGCTGTGGACTTAATGTGTGGTTCTTGTACTCCCTTAGTCCCCCAGCCTTAGTTTTATAAAGTGAAAAATAAGCTCACATATATTATGGAATATGTGCACAGATTAAAACAAAAAACTCAAATTACTTTGTGCAGCTTTCATTGATAGTTAATGACATTGAATACTAATTAAAATCATTTCTACAGTCTGTGCTGAGTGGATGCCTCCTTCAAAAGGACTTCCTGTAAACAATTTATTCATCAGGTACATAGCAGTTTGACTGACTCAGTTAGGACAAAGTGTTGATAGTTCTAGGCTAGAAAATGAGACTCTGCCTTATCAAAAATTTCATAAACATTGTGGATTCAAAATGTTTGCATGATTTAAAACATTTAGAACTAATAAATGAGTTTAAGAAAGAACTACAGTGCTCTTCACTGTGGAAGCAATGGGTTGTTTTGAATTATTTCACTAAATACTAAATACATGTGCTTTTGTTTTGTGAAAATAAAACCTTTTTTTTCTTTATATGTTACATGTAAAGGATTCAGAAGTACTACAAACATCCATTTGGTATATTCTGAGTATATCTTTTATTTCATACAATGCATTATTGAAGAGAAAGAAAGCTCTAGCTTTGTTTTTGAGTCAGGGTCTTACTATGTAGCCCTGCATGGCCTGGAACTTTCTGTGTAGACCAGAATGGTCTTGAGCCCACAGAGATTCCATCTGTCTCTGCTACTGGAGTGCTGCCCTTTAGGGGCACACTACCATGACTGACTAAGATCTCCAGCTTTTGTTTTAAAATGGTAGTACTGAGAATAGATAATTGTGACTGTGGATCATGAAGGTTTGCTCTTACATGTATAGAATTTCTTGTGCCCAAACAGTGGTCTGAAGTCAGTGGGCAAGGAATGCACTATAGCTTTCCATTTCGTCTGTCAGGGGTGAGCTTGTTTCTGCTCCAAAGGTCATATCCTGCTACAAATGCTGGGGTCATCCATGAGGCTCCTTTGCCATCTCTACCACCTGCTAACTTTTCTTGGAGACCACCTGGCACTAAGTGCAGTTTTCAGGACCAGAAGTTGCTGAAACCTGGGATAATTAAGAGAGAAAGCATGTAGCAAAGCTTTTCTTTAGTCTCTGGCCTTTGCAGTCTTGAGAGTGTAGGCAAACATGGCCTCCCCAGTGGACAGGACCACTCTCCACTGGCTGGCTGACATGGGCTGGCCAGCCAGTCAGCATGCACCTCGCTGGTAGATGCTTCATGCTCCTGTGTTTACAGGTGTTGCCTGGAGACGATGGTATTTCACCCCACTCCGATTCCTACCACATGTTTGACAGAAAAAAGTCTTAGTGTAGGTTTTATTTGAGGGCGGCCTCAGAAACAGAGGTTGTCAAGGGCTAGGGAAAGAGTCTGGGCTTCTGGAATCAAAACCAGCTGTCTTCGCCATCCTTCTACATGCTGAACGGTCCTTTTTGAGGTTCTGTCTGTAGACCCTGAGTGGCTAGGTCAAAGCAACCCACTGCAACACCTGCAAGAGTTGTCAGAGACCCTCCTTTCACCCCAGCCTGCTTGCAGCAACAGGAACAGCCAAAATGGCAGCTCCTGTCAGAACAGTGATGCCACCTTTGCCATCTTGCCATCTTTGGATGCCACATGGAAGCTGTCCAAGGTGTCTTCACCTTCTTTCCTGCTTCAGCCTGCTTATGTCACTGTCCATGGTGGCAGCTCCTCTTCTCCAGTCTCTGTTGGCAATTCATGCTGACTCAAGCTGCAGAGAAAGGCTTTCCTGCTGTGGGCTCCCTTCATAAACTTTGCAAACTTTGTAAACCCTCGAGGAAGGAAAGAAGCCAGGACTCTGCCTGAGGAGCTTCAGCAGTCAAGCCCCTTCCACACACCACTCTGTCATAACAGCATTTCAGCCTCTGTAACTCACAAAGGTCATCTCAATAGAACCCATTCCAGATTATGCTAATTTTAGTTGAAAAGTCTGAACAAAACCCCACCAATCCCTGAGCTGCTCCAAGCTAAAGATTTGAATCCCACCAAGCCTCACTCTAGAAATCTCTACCCAAAAAGTCTCTGCCCCCTAAGAAATCCTATATAAGCCCTGCACTTTGTTCAATTCTCAGCTGTTCTCTCCCAGAAACAGGGGTAGTCATGCTCTGGATTCCTTTTTCCACATCCTGGACCCTCTAATCTCTTTTATGAGATTTTCTGCCTGGTGTGACTCTTTTCAGAAGAGGCAATGAAGAAAGAAGTGGAGCTGGGTTCAGCTGAGGTCAGCTGGCGGTACTCTCCCCCGAGAGCTGCAATTCCTTTGCTGAGGAGGCTACCTCTCAGAGCTGTGTTGCTCCTCAGCTCCCATGCCTTAGGATGCCTTCCATCGGGGCACTGTCCCACCTCAGAACTGTGTGGTTTTGAGATCCCATGTCTCAGGGTGCTCTTCCATTGGGATACATTTTTCCATCAGAGATGCATGGGTTTCTGAGTCACAAGATACGACCCAAACAGTAACACTGAAAGTTACTGTGACAGTGTTTGTACCCTCCCCTCACCCAGACACCTCAAAGGCTACAAGACCTTCAGAAAGTGCCACAAGGCTACAAGCTTGGGTGATGTTGCCACATTGCAGCTTAAGCTCAGCCTTGGCAGTGATGGCCCAAATGGCCGAGGCAAGAAGAACAGATGACTGGAACTTGGAGGAAAGACAAGGGTCAGGCACCTCTAGAGGAGATGTGCCCTACTCTCGCAGCCTGCCCACCCGAGCCTGCCCCACAGCAGCCTGAGCATCTCCAAGAGACAGCACATGCAGAAGTTGAACACAGTGCGCAGGCGCAACAGACAGACTGGCAGTTGCGCACGGACAACTTTGGCCACACAGCGGAGAGAGCAAGGAGCCTGCCTTCTGAACTGGGGCTGGCAGGAGAAAAAGCACCTCCTGGAGATAGTGGGACAGTGCTGGTAAGCCCTCCTTCAAGCATGCCCTGAGCCTAGTACCCGGGGTGAGCTGGGTGTGCCAGCCGTTAACCGCCATCATGCTGAGTGGGAGTGGGAAGGTGTTGCCACAGACACGGGAACCCTTCGATACCCTCATAATGTTCAGGAGCATCGGATGGGATCCAGAGACAGTGTAGGACTCCCGGAATGACTGATACTTGAAAAAGCAGGACTGGGAAGGAAGAAGAAGGCATGAAGATTGGATGAGATTGAATTCTTTGAGGATTGTGAGAGACTTGAGGGTACCTTGTGGGTCATTGACGGTGAACCTCCGAGCTCCTTCCTGTTCTTTGGAGGAGGAGGGTGGGAGACAATGAGGACCTGTAGTGTCTAGTAAATCTCAGCAAGAGCTGCAGAAAATGAGAGGCTCTAAGGACCAAATGTGCAGGAAGAAGGGGACAGGCAGTTGTAGCTTTTGCTTTAGTGTGTGTGTGTGTGTGTGTGTGTGTGTGTGTGTGTGCGTGTGCGCGTGCGCGTGCGCGTGCGCGTGCACGTGCGCGTGCGTGTAAATGAATTTTGGAGACATTGAAAGAAGGTTTAGGTCAGACTCCAAAACCTTTGAGTCCCAGTGACCACAGATGAAGAGTCCAGACAATCTCTTAGTGTTCAAGTATATCAAAGTAACAGTCTGATAGGGCAGGCTGGCGGGCTTTGGAGGGCTCAGTATAGGACAATATGCCTGCCTGCGAGGCATCCCCTTGCTTGCCATTCATGTCTTTTAAAGACTCCATGAACCACGTGGGCTTCGGATTCGGCACGTTGAATAAGCGGCCAGCAAGCCTCTGCCATTATCACAGCACCCCAAGCACACCAGCATAAAAGGAGACAGGAGGTGTTGAGGACACTGATGAAACATGTACAAGAGGTATTTCTTGTACCAAATCTAATGGTTAAAGAATCTCATAATATTATCAACAGGTTTCAAATGGAAGGCTTGCCCTGAAATACTTTTTTTTTTTTTTTTTTTTTGCTGTAACAAAATGCCAGAATCAGGACATGGCCTAAAGAGGTTCATGTGTTTTGTGGCCGAAAAGCCCAAACCACTTGATAAAGGTGCCCTGACATGAATACACTGCCTGTGTCAACATGGAGAGAGGTATAAAGGGAATCCACTGTGGGCAGGAGCGGCCAAGAGTTCAGAACAGCCTCATGTGGGAACAACTCATTCTTGAGGGAGCTAGGGTAGCCCCACACCACCTTTAGAGAGGAAAGATAATCCATTTATCCAGTGCTGCTCCCACGACCAAATGCTTTGCAGATGCTCCCTCCTCCAGCACAAGTCTGCCACATCAGCATTTTACCACCAAGGACCAAACTTACACAACATTAAGGTTTGGAGGACAAAACAAATCCAAGTAGCATCAAAGCCTAACGATTATGCCCAAAGGTGGCCAGGTGCCCAAGGCCATTTGCCTGCTTATGTAATGTTTGTCTTCACTTGAGTTTGAGCCTCTCATACTTGAGGTATTTTTATGCCTTGTCGTTTATCTTGGTAATTTTAAGTAACAGTGTTGCTACAAGTTCTTAATGGCTTTTAATGTGATTTAACCCTTTTTGAGTTTTTAAGGCCTTCCTCTGGAGTCCAACCCTAGTAAGGGGGTCACTCATTCACTGTGCTTCAGCAACACCTAGAGATTTCATTTGACATGGTGCACGCCCTGTGGAGGACACATGCTTTGACTGTCTTTTTAAGAGATCAGATTCTGATGTTCTTGGAGACCCAATGAGAATGATGCTTGAAACTGGTGGAAAAAAATAAAAAGTGTATTCATTTCTATGGCTGCTGTAACAAATGGTCACAAATTGAGATTCAGTCCCTTCCAGTCCTGGGTAAGACAAAGGTGAAACACTGCCTTTCTGGAAGCTGGAGTGGAGAACTTGTGGTGTCACTGTCTCTCTTATGGAAGCGGCCCACTCTGGGGTGTTTGTGGGACCTTCATGTCTCTGAGAAGCTGGCAACAAAAGTTGGTCATTTCTGTTCCCTCTGTTCTTCCCTTCCGTATAGAAGGTTTTGTAATTGCAATGTAGTAAGCTGCATAAATCTCCATTTTCAGGTCAGCTTCTTCCGATGATGGCTGGGGAAGCATGCAGATTCCCTCACAACCACTCAGAATACCAGACTATCTCATCTGCACATGTGCACCGTGGCTGAGAATCCTGGGCTTGGTACACAGATCCCTCAGAGGATAGCAGCCCACTCTGCCTAGTTGCAAGAAATGGATGCCAGACCCAGCTTACAGATGGTGCCAGAGGAGGCCAGGCAGAAGAGAAACTTCCCTCTGGGGGAGCTCTTCTCAGCTTCCATGGCCTCTCACGAGGATCATGGATGACCTAAGAGAATGCCTTTACCAGAGCACAGATTCCTAGTGGAAATGACAGACGCAGCCTCCATTTCCTTCCCAGGAAGCCAGCTGTGAAAGAAGTTTTTGTCATAGGATGCTGTGCCCAGAGTTCAAATTTCCTCAGAGGATACAGAGATTCCAATACAGGGCTCTCAGCTGGAAAGCACCTCTACTCAGGAAGGCCCAACCGTGAGAGTAGAGAATGCTCTGTCTAGTTTTTGATCCCCTCAAAGGCATGAAGTCTCCCCTGGGGCAAATCTGGTAGAGAAACAGAATTGAGAGGAAGCCCAAAGGGCCAGGGCATCCTTCCATGGAAACGCTGCAAGGGATTCTGATTCCCATGGTGCATGGTCAAATGCACCCTCCGCTTCCCGTAGAGGAGGCCGCGCCACTGTTCACAGACACCTTCACATGGATGGAGCCCAGCAGGCAGATTTGCCAAAAGATGTCAGGCAAGTGGAACAGATACCTTCCTAAGGGGGCACAGAGCCACCCCAAGATCGTCTCAGTTGTCCTGACGTCTGGTTATGAGTATTCCTCTGTTTCTGGTCATGAAGATGTCTTCTGTGAATGGTCAACCCAGGGTTTAAATTCTCTAGGATAATTTCAGATGCTTGTATCTATAAATACTTCCCTGAGGAATGTCCAGAAGGCTCATCTTCTTGGAGCCATCGATAAGGCCTGTTGATCAAACCTCTGTGGCTACAGCCAGGGAGAGAGGGTCTTCCCGAGGTCAGCCCTCCAACTATTTAGCCATTCACCTCTGCTTGAAGGCCCCTCCCTCTTCCCATCTCTGTTGATCATGCCATAGCCACACAGAATGACCTAGTTCTGTGTGTGGCCTTACTACCCACATATATAGCCATGTGTGCTTTGCTTCTGGATTGTAGGGCTTGCTGTAGCTATCAAAATCCTCAGCCCCAAAGCACAAGAAACTGCCCTTTCTCTATCCATTGCAGAAGCTTAGCTGCTTCTTGTTTTCCTCCTCCAGAAGTCAGAGAACTTCATGGTTGACATACCCCTACATAAGACCCTTGCATCCCACTGTGCTGTGTACACACCATTCATTTACTAGAGAAGACAGACTCCTTGTGGTGATTCTGGATAGAAGGAAACTTAGTTCAGAGAGTGCCTGTTCTTGTGTGCCAAATCCCTCAGAGGAGACCAGGCATGGCCATGGGTTCCCTCAGCATGCAAGGACCAGTGTGCACATCTCCAGTAAGGACACTAGGCATGGCATGGCAGTTTCTCAGTCTATGCCCTCAGGACACTCAACTTAGTTTTTGAAGTTCCCCCAGTAAACACATACATTCCCCCAGTCCTCACAGTGAATGCCAAGACTCGCATGTACATTCCTTCAGGAAAACTCCAAAGGTGGTATCCGTTATGATGCCTGTTAGGAACACCCAGGAAGCACTCCCTT